TTTACTCCACTAAATAATAAGTTAGAATAACATCTTTATTTCGTTCTGGTTTAATATTATTTTAAAACTGTGACTTGTTTTAGCAATAAGTAATGCTAGTCAACAACATTCCACTGAGGCCATGCCATAACTGCGCAGTGGGTAACACACTCAAAAGTCAGTAACGGACCAACATTTGGCTGTCCAGCAGATTATACCCAGCGACTAACAGTGTCACTGGTGAATATGGAAGCCTATAACTACCATTCATAATTTCTACTTTTCGCCTCTTCAGAACGCGAAAGTCGAAAATTCGAAAAGTAGAAGTTACGACAAAATGTGAGGCGACAAGACGGTATACAAGCCAAAATCAACTCGAAAATGGGAAATTAAGATATAACACACAGCGATTTTCCTAATTTCTTATTTTCGACTTGCATTTTGGCTTGTATACCGTCTTTAATTGTCGACTTTCGACTTAGTCATATTTTTGTATTTATTGATGTCAGTAAAAAGGCGCCAACACGCTATACAAACCAAAATCAACTCGAAAATAGGAATTTATGAAATAACACACCGCGATAATAGCGTCCCTCGTTTTTTCCTAATTTCTTATTTTCGACTTGAATTTTGGCTCGTATACCGTCTTGTCGACTTTCGACTTAGTCATATTTTTGTATTTATTGATGTCAGTAAGAAGGCGCCAACACGCATAGAAATGGATAATAATTTTTATATAAAAAAAAAAATTTCATATTTTTTTCCGCCAACTGGGATATTTTATCTGCCAAAAATGTCTGATAAAAAAAAAACACACAAAAAAAACCCACCTTAGGCTACAACAATTTGATTTATTATATAGGCCTATTATAAAACAAATTTCCCTTACCGGTATATACAATATACAACAACTTACAAAATCCGTCTAACATAGGGATTGGGTGGTCTAGTGGTTTAACACGTGCGCGTGAAATCACAAGGTCTGACATTGATTCAAGTGGCGTGGTTTCGATTCCCCGCTTAAACATGACAAGTGAGTAGGGTCGCTTGTCCAACCTTGTGGGTTTTCTCCGGATACCTCAGTTTCTATCCACTGCTAAAGAATCCTACGTGCAAACGAATTATTGAAATGATTTAATTTGCAACTTGTGGATGTTAAGCCAGCCTGGAGGTCGGGTGTTCGATCCCTGCATTGGCCGAGAAAGTTCATCCCGATTTTCCGGCGGGTTCCCCCTTGTCAGTGATGCAGGACGGGGGTGGGAGGGTGGCTGACAAGGACAACTGTCTAGTTGTTCGGATGGGACCAAAAAACCGAGGTCCCGTGTACACATTGGCGTGCACGTAAAAGATCTCTTGACAGTTGGGATTCGATATAAGAGTAGGCCGTATTGCCGCTGTCCGGACAAAATTTTACTTATAGCACACTGTGTGGCGTAAGCCCGTCTTCATTAGCCCAGTTCGGGGCAGAACAGTAGGACGTTAAACCCCAATTTCATTTAATTTCCCTTTCTCCCTCTCTCTCTCTCTCATCGCCAATTTTTAAAATAAAATTACACCATGTGAGTCACTGAATAATTCTTAGTTTGTGTCGAGTGGACGTTACCCCCCCCCCCCCCCCCAATACGTTATACATTAGCGCAGTTTTGAGGTGATCCACTAAGATCAGAATTTATTTTTGTTGTCTTTAGTTATTTCAACATCTACTGAACAATATATATTCAGCCTTTACACGCCAGTCTCATCCAAGGATTTCCCTTTTTAACGTTTTGCATGTACAATAGGCCTATTCTTAATTGCAGGTACCGTAATGATCCAGAATCTGAATCCTCATAGAAATTTCAATTTTATTTGTAAGACATGCTTACAATCATTAGAGAATTTTGGCGGCGGTACCGAAACGTCACTATTCGACTCGTTCTTACATTTCTTACCCATGGTGATAATATCATTTGAAATAAAATAATAATATACAATCGGGAAAACCTGTATATTTTATATGCGGTATGAAACCACAGTAGGCCTAAATGAAATACAATTATCAATGCTCGTATTCTAATGTGACCTTGAAAGTCGACAGCACGACAGCAAGCCAAAATCATAGGTCGCTAATATCGCCTTCAATACTAGATTTTATCAAACAGACTATTTTGTTAACGCAAATTACATGTATTTAAATGCGACCTGGCAAATTGAGACTACAACAACTTCCGAGGCGAAAGTCGAAAAGTCGACAGTACGACAGATCATAGGTCGCTAATAGCACAGTGTGTTAATTTCCTAATTTCCTATTTTCGAGTTGCATTTTGGCTTGGTATGCGTGTTGGCGCCTTCTTACTGACATCAATAATTACAAAAATATGACTAAGTCGAAAGTCGACAAGACGGTATACAAGCCAAAATGCAAGTCGAAAATAAGAAATTAGGAAAAAACGAGAGGCGCTATTATCGCGGTGTGTTATTTCTAATTTCCTTTTTTCGAGTTGATTTTGGCTTGTATAGCTTGTTGGCGCCTTCTTACTGACACCAATAAACACAAAAATATGACTAAGTCGAAAGTCGAAAAAACGGTATACAAGCCCAAATGCAAGTCGAAAATAAGAAATTAGGAAAAAACGAGGGGCGCTCTTATCGCTGTGTGTTATTTCTTAATTTCCTATTTTCGAGTTGATTTTGGCTTGTATAGCGTGTTGTCGCCTCACATTTTGTCGTAACTTCTACTTTTCGACTTTTCGATTTTCGTGTTTTGAAGAGGCGAAAAGTAGAAATTATGAATGGTAGTTATAGGCTTCGAAAGATGAACCTACGTGGATCACTCACAGTAGCACCAATACGCCAATACGTGAAGCTTGTAGATGGTCGGTCAACATTCCTATTTTGTCGCATGGAGGAGATAACGTCTGAATGGTTGCTTTTGGCATCCTTCCCCAATCTCATTGCTATGCATTTCACAGTGACTGGTAATCATGTCTACTCGAATTACGCTGTTTTAAGGCCATTTTTTATACCACCATGTCTGCACCATAAAATGTCTGAGCGAAAACATCATTAGTTTAAACATATTTTATTGACACATATCAAAAGAGTCAAGCACAAGTTTCGAAAACTTAAGAGTAGCTTCCATGTATATTTTTATAACATTACAATTTTAAACAAGATAGCGAATCAATATACAGTATTATTTAAACGCTTTTTTCAGCTAATAAACAATGTAAATAAATAACTGGTAAAAAATAAATAAAGAAACTATAAATCATATCATAGTAGTTTTGAATAAAAAATGGGAAATGAATCAACATCGTGGAGTATGGTTGAACCGTGTTATGTATAGAAATAAGGTTATATTACGAACAGAGTAAGGGAATGGGGAATATAATGAATGTTATCCACCAAAGTATTGTGTAATCATTTACAGATTAAATTTTCATTGAAACCTTTCGGAACATTTTTAGAAATTCGTGAACTTCTAAGAAAAATATGTATTCATTTCATTTGATAATGTTGTATTCAATAGTTCAATGCCAATTACATCACACATAAGGGAAATAAAAAAACGGCGCTAATTCAAAACGACCAAAGCTTATATAACTGTGTAAAGTTAAAACGAACGAAAACAAATCGGCCAAAAATGTGATAAAATTTACCTAAAATACGTTAGTGGCTTCTTTTTCAACATACATTATGCAAGAGCTAGGCGTTAAATGTTATATAAATTAGACATTTATTATCATTACGAGACAATAATCAACTTTCGATACCATCGGATGCCTATAATTTTCAGCAGATTTGAATTATATCTGCTGTTCAGCGGCTATTCATGGTTAACCGTAAAATTGGATAATCGAGGCATTGTTTATTATTGTAACAACGGTAACAATGACAATCGAGGCTACGGTGTTCAATTAGTGTTCAGTAATATTGGGCTTGATTTTATACACCATGGCGAAATGGGGAACTTCGGATAAAATATTCTCCCGAATCGACAAATTTATGACGATCACGATTAGAATGCCATAAACAGTCCAAGATAAAAAAAAATATAGCCCTTGTTTGATCTTGGGACGAAATGGCGAATGAGACTATCATGAACTTTGACCCTTATCAAAGTGAAAGGTATCACAAGTAACACATAAACTGGCTAGGTTATGGTAGTTTGTCTCCTGATGTATTTGTTTGAAATATTAAATCACAAATAAATGTCAGTATTTGATGCCCACAGAGATAACAACAGAGCACAAATTTCAATTGCGTTCTGTGGCTTTAAGGAGAGCATAAAAATGATGAATCGTGTTATCAATGCGTGTTTGAAGTTGGTAGGAGTATGAAGTTAATGAGAGTATGAACTTTACGATTTTAATGGAGGCATGAAAATAACAAGTGATATTAATGGGAGCATGTTGACACGAATGTGCCGACGATTCTGTAACATAAAAAAAAGTACGGTGTTTGCCTAGCTATTCCATAAATCAGTGTATGGCGACCTTGAAATAAATTACTCATGGTTTTATATAATTGACCCTAATGGTCTTTCGTATAAGGGAAATCAAAAATCTAAGACACGACTACTGTATTTTATAAATCAGAGTATCAATTGAGAGATACAAGTTTTCAATTAAGTTATATAGACTTTTACCCGAAACCACGATCGAATGTTCCTTACCCTAGACTTAGAAGAAAAATTGACTTAATCGAAACTTGCGTATTCGAAAAATATCTACGAATCCGGGGCTATACAGTCTGTGTCGAATAAGTACAAAATATACGTTTGTTACAACACGCTAAGTGGAAGTTTTATTACTATTTCAATATGACTGGGATAGGACATATGTTTTTAGGAGTGTTTAATTAAAAATATTCTTCTCATTTTTACCCAAAAAACGGCTGACCGAATACAATATTTTATGACGGACAATAAGATTGAGACTAGTGTATTTTTATTGTTATTGAAATAAAAGCTCAATAAAAATTGAAAGTTTAAGGAAGTAATGAAAGAGGTGAAGTTGTAAATAGTATATAAAGATAAAGACAAGTTAGAGACAGTATTCACATCTTTACTGTGGTAGCCTGAACGATATCTAGTAGAATACTTAGAGAACTGATTAACTGAACCATACTTGGTATCCTTTTTGACTGAGATACAGTTAAACAACATCATACATTTTAATAATCAGCTAACGTAAGGATGTTCTCTATTTAATTATCACGATTAAGTATGACTTCTACATTTTATATTTATTTATTGTTCTATATGTATGTTTACCCATTATAGAGCATCGTATATCACTTCTCATTTGAGGGCTGCGCATACCTAGCATGTGGCAGTCGACAGTGACAGTCTATCCCATAAACTAAACTAAAGAAAACAAAATTTTTCACAGAATTTGCTGTTTCAGTTGTTCGATCATTAACATCTAGTATGTAAATCAAAATAGCGTATTTTTAAAACGGTAGCATATGCCTAGAACATCTGATACTATTATATGCAGCGATTCTCTCCCTTTTCTACCCTTCAGAATGGCCATTTATGGTCGAAAATTGTAGAGAAGAGGATTTGAATTAACTTTTTTTGCCTGGTTTTGGTAAATATAGATTGTTTGGCGGCGGAAGGAGAACAGGGGTTGGTTACGGTAAAATGCAAGGCGGATAGTTACATGTTTTAGTTTGTGTATCTTAAGATTTCATTGGTTAACCTCATATAAGTTTTGGAGCAAAGACATGGCCATTTGTTGCTCTGTAACGTTCAGCCCAATGAAACTTTTGGGAAAAGTTGGAGGAGGGCAAAGAGAGCAGAATTAGCAGTGAAGTTAATGGTGGTCTGCATCCATTTCTCAAACAAGAGTTATTTCCCATACACTGTTGGTCCACTGTTCAGAGAAATAATTGCGTTCGTGTTACTATTTCAGATGTTAAAAAATGAGTCCACTAGGTTTAATAATGGTGTGTCTTTCCTTGGTAAATTGTTTATTTGTATTATGTAAACATATCGGCAGACGTCTGCTCTCTTGAAACACAGAATAATTTGGGATGCAAGTACATGTAAAATAAAGTCATAATTGTTTCATTTTTCTTTTCAGATAAAAGATGAATTCACTGAGTTTCATTGTCTGTCTATCTCTTGTCAGTTTAAGGTAATTTAGATTTCTCTCTTTGTTTAAAATTCATTATAATAGATTAAAATCTATAGCTTAACGTAAAATTTTATTTATATTATTGTATTTTACATTTAAATATACTACAAACCGATAACTTATTTTTAACCAAAAGCATGACATTCAATAACCAATCAAGTAGTCACTCCAAAGAGCAATCACCCGAGGAACGAATGTCCGTGTTTCAATTTCACGCACTTTTAATGCATCTCAGATTCTTATCTGATTTAAATTTAAAACCATGTTCAATGATATATGTAAAATATATTTTTTAGTGTTGGTCTGACGTTTATACAACTGGATATTAATAATAATAATATGTTGACAAAAGCTGAATTTAAAGGATTGCTGGTCGTCTATGATTTAAACGGTATGGCTCAACTTTCTTTTATTTGCCATATTACTTGTTCATATACATGATGTACTGCCTTGTGTACTTTATTAAGATACAACACCAATGTGTTAGCCTACTCTAATCTAAAAAAGAAACAACTTCCAGTGTTCAAGTACAATTTTTTTGAGATTTCCGGTTCCTAACGACAATGTTTTTCCGATATACTTACATTTCGAATTATTCCATAATATTGTATTTATATATTCTAGGTGACAATGAAATAACATTAATAGAGATAATGGCTTCTACCAATTTAAATAGCACACAGGCCCAGGCTATATTAGATAAATATGATACTAATGCTGATGGTAAAGTACATGATATAGAACTTGATGATATTTTTGCTAAAAGCGATTTAAACCGTAAGTTGTTCAACCCATGCTTTCACTTTATTAAAGGACAATTAGTGCAATTATAATAATACATATATACAACATATTCAAAAACAATTTTCAACCAGCTCAATCCTCCCATGTGTCCATTCACCAGAACTATTCCCTTCAGTCAAACAGTAATAATTATGTTAATGGTGAATGCGCCACCCATAAAATAAACTTCCGATGTATGGGTAAAATTGCTTTTATCTTTATTTTTGAGAGAGAGAGTGAGAAATGAGGATTAACGTCCACTCGACACAAATTAGGTAATTTCTGAACAAACATATGCGCCAATTTTATTTCAATAATTCACTTGCGCGTATGGGTCTTTAGCAGTGGGTGAAAACCGAAGGTCCCGGAGAACCCTACTCCTTGTCACATACAGCTGGAATCGAAACCACGCCAGTTAATGATACAACGCGCACGCGCTAACCATTCGGCCACCCAAGCCCCCACTTTATTTTTAAAGACTTCGAATCGAATGGCATCACAAGATACGGGAGGTAACGGAGTAACTCTTGTATTCTACTTGAGCGTATTTGTTTTTCCAATCACAAAGGGAGCGAGCTTCGTATGCTACGTAATTACATTGTTCTAGATTAGTAGCTAAGTTGTCATGGAAATGAATTAGTCGAAACGTCCATTTAAAGTCAAAGTATTGTAACACACACTAACACGGAATTGCTCGTTTAAATAGTAATATGTATTACATAAGAACAGTTTTTATGTTATTTCATTTGTTGTTGTTGGGGTTTTTTTTCAGAGGACAAGGAATTGTCCTTGGCAGAATTCAATGCTATAGACGCAGTAAGTTAATTTCTGTTATTCTTAACTCACCATCTCTTCTATGTTTGTTTCGATTGTTCTCTTTTATACAGTTGTTATTAATTTAGTTTTGTCTTCTTCGTTTGGTTCCCAGTGGAACCTATGGTTTTCACAGTAGATTCTCGTCGATCATGTTTTAAAGTTACTTTCTGTATTTCTCCCAATGATATACCAATGGTCTTTAATTTAGTGTCCAGTTTTCTTCTTCGGGTTGTCACTGAACGTCCTGACTTTCAAATATCACGTAGGTTCTGCTCTATTGTTGGACATATCCTTCTGAGAAAATTGTTATTGAATACCTGTGCCTTGAAGGGTGGCAGCGCAAAGATTTTCCCAGCGAGATACTCTATTTGTAGTATGTCTTGGATAAGTAACATAATGAACATAAAAAAATGTATCTTAGCATCAATCATAAATTGGAAAGATTACTCCATAAAATTGGATAAGGGGAGCCTCGCCAATCAACTGATTTGTATTATTTTAATCAGTCGTATTTTACTATATTTTAGACGGATTCCACAAAAGCAGCAGCTTCGGGTGTAGCAGCTGTACCAATGGTCGTAGCAATACCAGCCGCCGTAGCAATACCAATGCCAGCAACCGTAGCAATACCAGCAGCCACAGTAGTGGGAGCAACCACAGAAATGCCAGCAGCCGGAGCAGCACCGGGGACCCGGGCTCCTTAAATAGACAACGAAGTAAATGTGACAATTGCCGGTTAACATCAGTCCATCGAGGAATCAAACTGTTTACTCGTATTTCATATTATAGATTCGATATCAATCTTCACAAAATCAAAGTTTTACGATAGGTACTCGTCTTAATTCAGAGGTAGGCAGAAATATGTCGACATTGTGAAATGATTATCACAAATAAACATGAAATAAATGATGTTAAACATTAATACATGTGTATTTTTAATTATTGACAGTATGGATTATGAAAAATAAACAGCGATGCCTGTAACTAAATCCAGTTATAATAACATCTTTATTTCGTTCCGGTTTAATATTATTTTAAAATTATTTTACCCCTTATATCATAAGTTACTCTCAAAATGGACAATATTTTGTTTGAAATCAGTGTACAAATTTATTCCTCTCTCCAAATTACGGAGTGAAGCCCCCGAGACAATTTTACTAGTTTTGAGCGTATTTCGGACCTTTGGCACACCTTGGAAGGCTTCCTAAGGAACCATCCATATCATTCAATCGTATAGACCCTTGCCAGAAATTTTTGCCTACAAGGGCGCCCCTACTCAAAGGTGTGCACGTGCCCCCACCACCAACCATTGTATTGTGAACAGAAAGTCAACAACATCCCGCAGAGGCCATAACAACTGCCCAGTGGGTAACACCCAAAAGTCAGTAACGGACCAACATTTGGCTGTCCAGCAGATTATACCCAGCGACAAACAGTGTCACTGGTGAACCTACGTGGAAGACTCACAGTAGTACCAAGACGCATGGGGGAGATAACGTCTCAATGGGTGCTTTTGGCATCCTTCCCCAATCTCATTGCTATGTATTTCCCAGTGACTCTGGTAATCATTCTTACTCGAATTGGCGCGTTAGTCCGGCAGCAGGTCGACAAACCTGGGAATATAAGCCACCTAATGCTTTTTGATGGAATATATATCTTCAGTATGTGCAGATTCAGAATCCGGATGATGCCACCCTGGCACCCTTGGGGAAATTTAAATAATCAAGATGGCCGCCAAGAGGCATTTTCTGGATATTTAGTTGGGTAAAATATGTGACAGATTCTCTCGGTTTAAAGATGGGTATTCCTCCTAAAAGTGACGGCTAATTCAAAATCGTGGCTTATTTTTGAATTAAACTTATAAAGTTCTATAAAAAGGTGTGAAATATATGGAAATATAGGTTTTCGGTGTATTATATATCTTCAATATGTGTAGTTCAGAATCCGTATGTTGCCACCTTGCGATGGTATCCTTGGGGAAATTAAAATATTCAAGATGGCCGTCATGGTTATATACTTTAATTTAATTAAATGGGGTACAATTCGGGACAAATACTCTCGAACCTTGGTATGAAGGTGGTTTCTGTAAGAATTTGACCCTAAAAGTGACGGCTAATTCCGTTAGGGGGCCAAATTCACAATGGCGGCTCGTTTTTATACGTCCGCCCGGACTTCTGGTGGTCCGTCTGTACGTCCACAGTTTGTTTGTGGACACTCTACAGGTCACAATTCTTATCCAATTTTAACGAAACTTGAAACATGGGTGTATCTCCAAAAGATCTCATGTGGACGTATATCGCCAGTGTCCGCCCGGACGTCTGGTGGTCCGTCTGTACGTCCACAATTTGCTTGTGGACACTCTACAGGTCACAATTCTTATCCTATTTTAACGAAACTTGAAACATAGGTGTATCTCCAAAAGATCTCGGTTGGCATGTATCGGATCGAAACTTCATGGATTATGGCCCCTGATTGTACGAAAAATCACATTTTTAGCTTGTGGATACTCTAGAGGTCACAATTATTAACTGATTTTAAAAAAAAACGTTCGAATATATCACCATTACACCGTAATGTTGGTTGAGTTCGAATTTCGCGCATATCGGACCATATCTTCCTGGATTATGGCCCCTGATTGTACCAAAAATCATACTATATTTTTAGCTCGTTTTCTGTCCATCTCTTGCAAAATGTGGGCGTATCTTGCATGGCAACCGCTTCTTTTACACTGAAAAAACACTTGTGTTGGATCTCAACACAAGTACTTGTGTTAAAACTAATCTACACAAGTTATGTGTTGTTTTGCATTGCATTAACACAAACTTGTGTCGATTTATAAAATCTTGTGTTTTTTTCATATCATTAACACAAGTAATGTGTACCTTCCAAGATTTGTTTTCTTTTTTAAAAAAAAACTCCATACAAAGTCTGAATTCGGGAGTCGTCAAGTTTTAAGAAAAGTAATAAAGGGCTTAATTCACATCTCGAAAATCACATGCTGTTCTTCACTGGAAGGGTGTGAGTACCAATTAATCAGACAATTGCCAGACAGACTTGAATGTTAATTGATGTTAAGTTGTCTGTATAGTTAAAATGTCTGTCTTTTTTTATTGACCCAATAAACTGATAGATCAAATGAATATATAGTGTACATGTGATTTTCAGCACCCTGGTGTTTTCGAAAATTGATTCAATGTACAATGAACAAAAAAAATGAGTAAAACTCTTAATAATGTAATTGGTTGATGTAATCGAAATTGGACAGTATTGGTTAACTGAAAAGTAACCAATCAAATTTAATTGATCATCCACGTGTATCTCATAATCGACTTATTGATATAATGGTTCTCCAAGTTATCTATACTTTTTGTCTGCGATATCACTTCGGTGGAAGCGGACGTAAAATACAACTAACTAAGAAGAAGTATCTAAACTTTAGTCATTGCGACAAATTCTTTCTTTGATATTATATCAGCGACATTCAGTTAGATAGATGTAGTGAAGTTAGCATCAACAGGGTGCTTTAGCCGTGATATTTTAAAACAAAATTATAATGGTCACATAGAATACCAGACCGCAGGTTTGTAAATTTTTACAAAAAATAAAACCGTGTATTTAATTTAGCATGTATATATTGCTTCTATTGTATATAATAATTCGTTTCGTTTAAAACAGTCAGATTTAGAACTACTGCCACTGACTGCACCGGAAGTCTATTTATATAATGGCGCCACAAAGAAAATTTTTTTGATGTGTTCTAAAAGTGTTCCGCTAATTCAGCAATCTAATGAATCTGTCTTAATTTTTCTGAAATCGTGCTTAATTATTATTAGCTAATCGGCGCTACACCGTTGTTCAAATACTTATAATTGCAAGAAACCCCCGACTAGGACCAGCAGGTAAGAATCTGTCTTGATTTTATAGTAATACCCGGTTGCAATTATTGGCCGCCATCTTTGATTTTTATAGACGTTCGGGCAAAAAGAGAAATGTATATCCAGACATGGACTATAGCTAGATACTAACTTTTGTGTTAGTTGTTTAGTTGAAATGTAATCTTATTTCTGTAAAAGAAAAAAACAACAACAAACAAATCAGCCTTTTTTTTATATCAATGTCATCAATGTGTAGGCCTAATATTAGACTTTCAATGATTCAGAAGTTTCTCTACAGTTTCGTTATTTTTTTTCCAGTCATTGATGTTAGCATGTACTACACAAAGAAAAACAGGTAACAGAATTTCATTTCCTTTTAATATATCTTTTTAATAATGGCCAATAATTGTTATTGTATGTAACACGAAAAGTATTTATCTCTGTAGAGAGAGGGCGAGTAAATGGGGTTTAAAGTTCACTAAATTCACTTGACACAAACTATGCCATTCATTTCCTTGTATTAAATTGGTCGAATCAAGTAGGTCCATGCTATATATATGTCCTAGAATCAAGTAGGACAGGTAGTCTTCTTCCGTTTCCGCCCTTTTTCTGAACACTGTCTCATTCTATTGCCATCTGTGTATGTTGTGTTATATTAATTCTGCATAATTAACTCTAGTTAACCTAGTTAACTCTATAATAATAAATGAATTTAATATATAAATAAATAAATAAAATATAAATAAACCAATAATATATTTGTAGTTTAATATGTTTTATCTTATCATTACAGGCAAAGCATGAAGCCAAAGGAAATGTTTTTACCAAGGCATGTTCCTCAATAGCGGAGAGAGTTTTATCCAGTGTCGGTTCTGCAGAAGAACCCATTCATAGCAGACCACCCATTGCAGCACTTGTAAGGTCGCTATAAAGAACCCGACAGACTCTGCGACCAAAAGATCCCACTGACGTGTCGTCAAGCGTAAGTACTCATGCAATTAAATACCCATGTATATAAGAATTTATTAACATGTAATTAAATGTACAATTTTATTTATTTATTAACATATACTTAAATGTACTTTTTTATTTATGTTTTGTTTTAGCTTGACGAAGATTTCATCGATCAAAGTGCACCGGGATTTTATCAAAAAAGAGTAAAAGTTGGGGAAAGGCGCCATCACATTTTTTGTACTGATAGACAGATGCAACTACTCGCACGCGCAAAAACTTGGTATATGGATGCAACTTTTCAGGTGGTGAACAAGCCATGGTCTCAGCTGTTTTCCATCCACGCCTTCATTAAGACTGGAGAGACCACCCGACAGTTACCATTGGTGTTTTGTGTAATGTCGGGTAAAAGCCAAGACGACTATTATAAGGTAAATAGCACTTACTGATTGAATTACTATTAATAGTAAAAAAGGACTATTATTTGGGACCTTGAAATTGTCACAAATGGGTCGCACTAACAGCGACATTTGTTTCAGGCATATTTGTTTCATCGGTGACACGTCTGGTGTCATGTGAATGCAACGACAACAGCCTGGTTGATTGATTTGTTGATTGGAGTTCAGATGTCTACATTAAAATCGACCACTTTCAGGTTGCCGTATTCACGGCCAGGCAAGACCGACTTGAAATTTCTAGAAATTTTTCTGGGGGAGACAGGCCCCAACAAATCCCCCGACGGTGCGTTTCACGACTTTGGCGCAAGACGGTGACCTTGAAGAGACGTCGAAAACCATTTAATAGACATAGTAAAAGTCATATCTTATGAGATTATCGCTGGTCTTGTCAGAAAATGCTATTTCATATATGACCAGTTTGTGTTTGAAAAATTTAATTATTTATTCTCCCACCATTAAAGCACACTAATTACGAAATATCGCTCTCAGAAACTTTATGGTTTCTTTTGCAATTTGTTTGGGGTAAGACGTTATATAAATAATATCAATCTGTCTACCACACAAATTTAACAGATACAAATGCATGTTATTCCACAGGTAGACAGACAGGGCCTCCTTTGAAGGGACTCAGTGAAGGGAACGCGGTTGGTTTAGAGTTTGTCTGACCCCTTTGAATATTTGCGTCTCATCTCCAATGAAAACAATCATGTTGCTCTCATGCTGTTCTCAACCAGAATCAAACATATATCGTACCTGAGATTTGTTAGCATGTTCCACACAACCCAACATTTATCGGCACCGGGATTAAGGGTGTATATCTTTGTTTCTAACGCTTATTGGGAATACGCCACGGAAACTACAATAAAAACTTATTTACAAAAACATTCTAAAGAGGGCAAACTGACATATTTCAAGCTTTACTGTATTTAAAGAAATAATTTAAATCAGCCGGCTGAAACCCCGTCTCCGCTATTTGTTCAGTCATTCTTTAGGTATAGTGCCAGTTTCCACCGACAATGATATTGCAAACAAGTGTCCAATCTATAAAAGCATACATTCCTACAAAATGTTTCTTTAGTCAAGTGAAACAATAAATTCATAACTATGCGAGGGTGTGGTGAGTAAATTCGTGGTAACAAGTGTAAATAGGCTAATGTGACATAGAACAAGGTCACATTGATGTTGACAAATACGTAAGACGATATGAACATCAACTAAAAAGATATGTAATGTGATTCAGCTGCAAGGTGATATATGCATATATGCAGCATAGATAATTAAAACTTCTATTCAAGTTAAACCAACTGTATCTATTTATTTAAGTCTTACGTCGAGCTGAATACATTTTATGATTTATTTTCATCTATTGGTGGTTAACAGTGTGTAACTAAAAACTAAAATTGGATCTTATTATTGCCAATGATATAATGTACATGTAATAGCAAGTGTATATATATTTTTTGTTCAGTCTGTACACAGTAACATATCTGAGAACCATATTATTATCATTTCTGCCCAAGGCTCCCTGTGCCTTATAGTTAGCAGTGATACAAGGCAATTACCAATTTTCCATGTTCTTGGCCTGAAGAAATAAAATAATAAAAGTCAAGTTTTTATTATTATGCAAGTGGAAAAATACAATTATTCATAGTATGATTTGAATAAATACAACTGATTTGAAGTTGGAATTATTATTTGTCTAAGATGACTGGGCATTTACAAATTGAAATAGCTACTCTTCATCAAGAAAATACATGAATATTTTTCCCAATTCACCTGGATTTTATTGTAGGTCTTTGTACGTGAAATAGCTTTATTTAACGTCCGCTACCACCGAAGTGATATTGCAGAAAATTAACAAATTCGGATTCCCTTTTAAAGGAAATTGACTGCACTATCGCTGGATTGTATTATATAGGTCATGTCAGTTTTTTTCAAAATGGCGCCCAAAACACAAAACAAACATTGCAATTCAGGGCTGACTGGTGTCGAGGCTGTATCCTAAGAATGATTTTTTGAATATTTAATCACACAGAAACACAAGTATGCACATGCAGTTATGATATAATATTAAATTAGCTTACCTCAAATACCTCGAAATATACTGTTTGGTCAGTTTGTCCGCCCGCCATATTTCTATTAGTCACACATCCTTCGGCCAATTAAAATGGACGTATATTTTGTTTTAACCGAAACGAAAAATTTGCGTTATAAATAGTAAACGAGCTTGATTGACCGACCACTGCTAATGTTTTTTCGTGAAACGGTATAACTGCAATCAACACACGGCCGCCATTCTCGATGATTGACAACTCACGTTTTTCCTCATCCACCAAAGAACCGTTAGGTTTCTTTGAACATACTGTAATAACATTGGGATTATCAGTTAATCAGCTTTAATTATCCCGCTTTGATCGTTGCCATTTCTTATATTTTCCACAAAAAACTTTGCCTTGTACACACTAATTTATCAATTGGTATTGCCATCTACGACAAGCATGTCAACGTGCAGCTCACGGATTATGGTTAACAATTTCTAGGGGCTTGTAAAAAAAGATTGCATGTCGTGTAAATATTTATTTTGTTTTTTGTGTAGGTCATTTTCAAATAAATTCATCAGCATATTATTCGTTTTAAATAAATATAAAACTTTTATGAGAAACGATGATTATCAAAGAACCGTAAGTGCAACTAATGTTTTATCGTTTGGTTGAGCCTTTTACTAACCACGTGTTTCATGTTAATAAATATTTTCTTTCGTGTTTTGTTTGAATTGGCCTATTTCTAATAAATTATCCCGAGTCCCAAACGTCGTTAACCCGAGTCCCAAACGACGTATACTAAAGTCCCAAACGTCGTATACCGGAGTCCCAAATGTCGTGGTCATATTTTTTTGAGTCCCAAATGACGCGAGTCCCAAATGACGTGAGTCCCAAATGACATGTAATCAACCTAGAGTTGTTGTTAGTGTTTGTCGGATAGATCCTTTATACTTACTGGCGCTAGGTAATTTCGAGGCTAATATTGTTCAATTTTATTTGAATGATTTGCTTGCGCGTACCGTAGGAGTGTATTAGAAACAGTGTTTGCGCAGGTTCGAGAACGGCTGAAGAACATGAAAACACTTTCATGAGTCTCGAACATGAGAGAACGGTATCCATGGTAACAAGATGAATTAAATTTATACAATCTGTTACGATAACTTGTTTAGTATTTACTTCGCTATTAAGCATAATTTTGATAAATTATGACACCGTTTTACTCCTTTTCAATTCTTTGGATGACGATTACATCACCTTTTGATACGCCCTCGTCCGTAGGTTTGTCCGTCGTCTACAGAACTGATTATTTTGAAATTGATATGTTGTTTATTTTAATGAGATGAATCCTATTTAATTTCAATAATTTCTGTTAGTTTCTTCTGGAGTTATGGCCCTTGTTTCACTTTGTGAAATTCATTTGAATCTTTTAAATTAGTGAAACGAAGACGTCTATTAAATTTCTGCGATTTCTGTGAATTATGTCTAGAGTTGTGGCCCTTGTTTCACTTTTTCGAACCTTGTGAACGCGCGAACAACAAAATTATCATCCGATTTGTATGAAAATTGTATGCATTATTTAAATTAGTAAAACACAAAACAATAAAATCTGTGAAATTTCAACAATTAAGGCCCTTGTTTCAGTTTGTAGAACCTTTGTAAACCCACAAACGACGAAAATTATAATCTTGTATGAAATTTTCTTGTAAATGCCCACATTACCTACAAAAGAATGAATATGCGACAATCCCTGTTGACTGCGCAAACGATTAAACTGCTGTGGGCATATGTTTCGTTGCCTGACAACCTAACTTACTTGATGTTATACTGGCCACATACTACATCCAATTTTCGAACGGTATTAAACTTTTAAATTAATAAATGCACCCATGATGCTGTTTTCTCAGCAGTTATCGATGCGTCGACCTTTGTAAACCCACAAACGACGAAAATTATAATCCTGTATGAAATTTTCTTGTAAATGCCCACATTACCTACAAAAGAATGAATATGCGACAATCCCTGTTGACTGCGCGAACGATTAAACTGCTGTGGACATATGTTTCGTTGCCTGGCAACCTAACTTACTTGATGTTATACTGGCCACATACTACATCCAATTTTCGAACGGTATTAAATTTTTAAATTAATAAATGCACCCATGATGCTGTTTTCTCAGCAGTTATCGATACGTCGACCATGTTTGTTCTCCCTCACACCAGCTATGAGGTAGTGTGGGATTTGAGAACGGGAATGTGTTCGTGAACGCATTCCAGACTGCTCAAGTCCGACAAGAACCCATTCTCCGTCCGTTCTCTGCACCGGAACACTGTTTCGAATACACCCTAGGGGTATTTTGCAAAGGGAGGAAACCGGAGGACCCGGAGAAAACCCACAAGGCTGGACAGGCGACCCTATTCCTAGTCACATTCAAGTGGGGAATCACATAATAATGGCCTATTTCAAATAAGGTATTTGCATATAAACAAAGTAGGCTTACAGCCTCTTTCAAATGTGATATTTGCATATAAAGAAAGTACAAACTTAAATCGTCAGTGCTGGATAAACTAGCCAAAGGGTTTGGCTGAATCAATTGGCGCTAAACTTCACCTAGTTTATCCACTGACATACGCCCGAATCAAACATGTTTGATATATTTGGCCGAATTGTATTTGAGTGGTGTGTCCGCTTCGCCGAAGCATTCGTCTGATTTTAGAATTCATTAGCCAATCACCACTCATTCATATCGAGTGGGTATCGCAAACTAGCAGTCGAACTGTGACACGGGTGCTACAGCCAACAAATTCCAACTACCATACTATCGGCTTAAATGCACGCCAATGGGACCTCAGGTTTTGTGTTCCATTGAAACGACTAGAAATGAAATGAAATGGGGTTTAACGTCCTACTGTTTTGCTCCGAACTGGGCTAATGAAGACAGGCATACACCACACAGTGTGCTATGAGGGAAATTTTGCCCGGACAGCGGCACTGCGGTGTATCGAATTCCAACTGTCAAGGGTTTATTTACGTGCACGCCAACGTGTACACGGGACCTCGTTTTTTCATTTCATCCGAATGACTAGACAGCTGTCCTTGTCAGGCCCTCCGTCCTGCATCACTGACAAGGGGGAACCACGCCGGGAAATCTGGGTGAACTTTCTCGGCCAATGCAGGGATCGAACACCCGACCTCCAGGCTAGCGAGCCAGCGTCTTACCCACTTAGCCACCATGACGACTAGGCATGGAATCCATGCTGAAAAATTCAAATGAGCTTTCTCGGTCAACACTGAGAGCGAACCCGCAACCTCCAGGGTACCATGCCAGTGCCTTACACACTAAGCCACATGACTCTCTTCTAATTACTGTGACAGTCCAGTCACATGACAAACAAGGGTTATTAAAACAGATTTTCAAGGCTTGGGTAAGATCTTCGGGATTCAAATGGTTTTAGATATCACACAGTTTGTATATGGTAAGGTATCTTAAACAGTTTATTACATGTCACATATTCATATTTTTCAGTTTCCATATTAGATGCCATAGCAAATCAAAGATCATATAATAAAACAAGTCAAAAAACCCAAATATGGAAAAAGAAAGAACTGAAGAAATGGTGATTTGAGCACCTATGCTTTCTCATAGGTGTTTTTGGAGGGTGAGTGTTCAATTCTAATAGAAAAGATTGTTGTTATGGTATTTTAGAATCTCACCATAATGTGTTTGGCACAATATATCCCGGTTGGAGCTGATGTGACATAAACCTCCATTTCATTTTGTTGTTTTGAAATTTAAAATTCAGTTTAGTATAGTAAATTTGTACACGTACAAAGTTTGTGTATGGTAAGGTATCTTAAACAGTTAATTACATGTCACATATTCATATTTTTCAGTTCCCATATTAGATGCCATAGCAAATCAAAGATCATATAATAAAATAAGTCAAAAAACCCAAATATGAGAAAAGAAAGAGCTGAAGAAATGGTGATTTGAGCACCTATGATTTCTCATAGGTGTTTTTGGAGGGTGAGTGTTCAATTCTAATAGAAAAGATTGTTGTTGTGGTATTTTAGAATCTCACCATAATGTGTTTGGCACAATATAGCCCGGTTGGAGCTGATGTGACATAAACCTCGATTTCATTTTAATATTTTGAAATTTAAAATTCAGTTTAGTATTGTAAAACTGTACACGTACATGTATGTGCACAGACAGAATCTTACTTATGTCCAGATACATGTAGATATGACTATCTCATCTGTGGGGACCCATGGTGACCAAGTGGGTTAGACACTGGTTTGCATATCTTAAGGTCGCGGGTTTGCAGTAAGACAATGCAGTACGGAGGGCCTTACAAGGACAGCTGTCTAGTCGTTCAGATTGAACAAAAAAACGTGGTCCCGTGTACACATTGGCGTGCATGTAAAAGAGCCCCTGGCAGTTAGAATTTGATACAAGAGTAGGCCTTAGGGTCACGGTACCCGGCAAAATTTCTCTCGTGGCACACTGTATGGCATATGCCCAACCTCATTAGCCCAGTCGAAGCTGAACAGTAGGACGCCAAACCACATTTCATTTCATTTTTTTCATTTTGTCTCATCTGTGACAAAGCAAACCAACACATTACAATACAATTTAATTAAATTAAAACTTTCGTCTATTTAAATATTGAATCGATTTAAGTCAACTAAAACATAGTATGTTTTTTTTCTCAGTTAACTACATCAGAAAGATCAAGACAGTTGGAAATGGCTATTCATATTATGGAAACTTTTTCTCACAGAGCTTGATAATCAGGTAAAATGTAAGTAACATACATATTTGTATTTTTAATCATCAACTAGTTCTACACACTTGATTGGTAATCTAGTTATTCTTCTTGGGGCAATGCCTAGGACTCTCCTATTCAAGTCTTGGCATTCTTGATTTTTGACAATCACATCCATTGATTTTCTTCAAGTTGTGATAGACCCTATGTGTATTTTTACAGTAAATAGCAGTATAAAAATGGACAATATTTTACTTTTCAAATAGATTTTAATAGGTAATATCCAATTTGTTGTCGATGGAAATAAAATATAATAATCTGCCTGGGTCTGTTACTGGACAAGACACAATAAGTGTTACCCAAAGATGAAACAAAATAGAGACTCAGTCTCGATGTGGCAAAATAAATTGTTTATTTAAACATTGTGAACCATAAATAGTAAGAAAGTATTCTTATTGCCTACTTTTTATTTTTTAGGCTGGAAGATTATTTGATGTATGATAACAACAAGAGATCCCAAGCATCAATTTATTTTATAATTCTGGAAAAGAATGCATTTGACCCAATTTTTGAATATTTTTTTTTGTTTTTACTGTTAAATATTCATCCCAAACACAATTAGATTTTAATTCTCTACAGAAATTTATGTATAATATAGAATGTAAAGTGACATATAAATCACTTAGAATTTGGTCGGAAATCATAAAGTATTTAATAGGCATAGTCTAGAAACCAAATGTAGATCGAATATACCCAGAATTACAAAAAACCTTGACCTACATTAAGGTGACTTTCCCTTGCTTATGAAATGAAATAGGGTTTAATATCCTACTTTTCTGTGTTATTATGGTGATTCTGCCCTACAACCTACTCTTATATCAAATATTTCAACTGTCAAGGGTTGTTTAAAGGGAACCCAGGAGGGCCGAATGGTTAACACACGCACATTGGATCAGAAGGGTCTGTCATTGAGTCAGATAATTCAATTGTCAAGGGTTCTTTAAAGTAAACGCAGTGGGGGTAGTTTCAATTCTGGGCTTATACCCAATTATCCCTTGCCATGTCCTACACTACTGACGTGTGGGAACTATGTCGGAAAATCCAGTTGAAATTTCTCGGCCAATGCACTCACTGAACCACAGTGGCTCCTCCTTGCTTTTGACTTGATATTATTTATATATATTTTGTACATATTATTTAATGTTTGCGATTTTCTCTGATATTTTTTTATTTTTCAATCCTGTAATCTTGATGCTTTGCTCCTTTTATGTACAAAATATTCATTTTGTTTGTTGTTTTTTTTTTAATGAGGAAAAGGTTCTACATCATTTTATTACTCCTGCAAAATAGTGCATTTTTCTTTTGTTAGTTTTCTGTGTATGCTAGTTATTTCTAGATGCCTCACAAATCACTTGTAATATGACTTTGTAGCACTTTTCAGTTTCTGAAAGTATTTCAATTTAGTGCATAATTAATCTAATTAGGGCTTGGTTTGGATGTTATTAAATTTAGATATATTTGAATTATATATTGTTGGGGTATGGGGTAGGGATCTTTCTTTACTCAGTTCTTGTTTTCGGGTAAAGAAAAAATTAAATAGCTATTTTGTATTTTGTGATGTGGGGGGAGGGGGGCAAAGTATAACAAAATTTTTATTAGTATTAGAATTATATCTCTGTTTTTCTGTTAACATTTCAAATGATGTCTATTTAGTTTTGATTTGGTGGTGTTAATTTACTTTTTCCTATCATTTTATGAATAAATGATAATTTAACAAATAAAATTATTGTTACCTCATTTATCAAACTTTACAGGTTAAACAGAGCAAAAAGGGGTGGGGGGGGCTGCATGGGAAAGATTGCTAAATTGAGGGAAAATAAAACACAAGTTTTTGTTGGTGGTTATACACAAGTTTTTATGAAACCACACAAGTTTCAGAAATTTCAACACAAGTTTCAGAAATTTCAACACAAGTTTCAGAAATTTCGACACAAGTTTCAGAAATTTCAACACAAGTTTCGACACAAGTATTGTGTAGATTTTCACACAAGTTTCAACACAAGTTTGTGTTGTTTGGTAAATTTTAACACAAGTCTTGTGTTGTTTCAACATTTAACACAAGTTTGTGTTGTTTCAACACAAGTTTGTGTTGTTAAATAGAGACACCTAACTTGTGTTGAAAACAACACAAGTTTGTGTTGTTTCAACACAAGTTTTTTTTCAGTGTAGGTAAACCCATAATGCTCCTTAAAACTGTGTATAATACACTGAAATATAGGTTTTCATTGTCAATTTCTTTAGATATAAACATGTTCGACCACCAGTTATTCCAACCCGATGATATTCTTGTACCACGCTGACAAACATTTTCCATCCTTTATTCCACTCTGTTTTTTGTCCCCCGCCTTTCGAAGAAAGCAGGGGACTATTAAAATGGGTTCGTCCGTCTGTCTGTCTGTCTGTCTGTCCGTCTGTCTGTCCTTCTGTCTGTCCGTCTGTCTGTCCGTCACACTTTTTGGGACACAATAACTCTCTTCCTAATTGAGCTAGAATGTTCAAACTTGGTGTATGTGTTTATTAGGTCAATGCCTTGATGGAGTTCGAAGATGAGCATTTTCCGCTTAGGGTTAGCAGAGATAAGCAATTTGATTGGTTGATGCTTTGGGACACGATAACTCTCTTCCTAATTGGGCTAGAATGTTCAAACTTGGTGTATGTGTTGATCAGGTCAATGCCTTGATGGAGTTCGAAGATGAGCATTTTCCGTTTAGGGTAAGCAGAGATAAGCAATTTGATTGGTTGATGCTTTGGGACACGATAACTTTTAATTGAGCTAGAATGTTCAAACTTGGTGTATGTGTTTATTAGGTCAATGCCTTGATGGAGTTCGAAGATGAGCATTTTCCGCTTAGGGTAAGCAGAGATAAGCAATTTGATTGGTTGATACTTTGGGGCACGATAACTCTCTTCCTAATTGAGCTAGAATGTTCAAACTTGGTGTATGTGTTGATTAGGTCAATGCCTTGATGGAGTTCGAAGATGAGCATTTTCAGCTTAGGGTAAGCAGAGATAAGCAATTTGATTGGTTGATGCTTTGGGACACGATAACTTTAGTTCTAATTAAGTGAGATTGATGAAACTTGGTGTATAGTTTCATTACAGTAATATCTTGACTAAGTTTGATAATGAGCATTTTCTGCTCAGGGTAAGCAGAGCGATACGCAATTTGATTGGTCGAGACTTTGGAAAACAATAACTCTCCTACTTTGATTGTCCCCCGCCTTTCGAAGAAAGCAGGGAACTATTAAAATGGGTTCGTCCGTCTGTCTGTTTGTCTGTCTGTCCGTTCCGCTTATGGTAAGCAGAGATAAACAATTTGATTGGTTGATCTTCGAATTGAGTAAATGTTCATGCTTATTGTCCCCCGCCTTTCGAAGAAAGCAGGGAACTATTAAAATGGGTTCGTCCGTCTGTCTGTTTGTCTGTCCGTTCCGCTTAGGGTAAGCAGAGATAAACAATTTGATTGGTTGATGCTTTGGGACACTATAACTTTAGTTCTAATTAAGTGAGAGTGATGAAACTTGGTGTATAGTTTCATTACAGTAATACCTTGACTAAGATCGATAATGAGCATTTTCTGCTCAGATTAAGCAGAGCGATAAGCAATTTGATTTGCTGAGACTTTGGAACACAATAACTCTCTAATTATTTTCCTATTTCGGCGGGGGACATCAGCCTCACTGTTGGCTTGTTTTAGTAGAGAAGGTGACACGGACGGGTGTCATAGTGGATCATAATTTTATGCTTGACAATTCGATCTCCGTAGCTTCTGTTCGTATGGCCCTGTAATTTGTGCCCTTAGTGCTGTGATACATAAGTTTATACACTACCGGTTCCATTTTCTTCCATGGTCTACTAAACTTAGTTATTTTTTTGAATTTGGGAACCATATTGGCGTTTCGTTCGGTCATGACACATTTCGTCATTCAGATATGAATTCGGCGAAACCGAAAACCTATAGTTTAATACATTACCAATATCGTTATGCCTTGCCAAATATGACCACCATTTTGATTATGGGCTGTACCTGGAGTACATTTTGGTCGGAGCATGTTTTATTTTTATATCTGAAGTAAATGACACCGAAAACCTATAGTTTAATATAATCTTGCACAGCTTTTTGGGGGACTTTACGAGCCCCCCCCCCCCAAAAAAAAAAAAAATGAGCCTCCATTTTGAATTTAGACTCCTAGTGGAATTAGCCATCTTTTTTAGGAGGAATACCCAAGCTCATTGGATTTAGTGGGTCAAATTCTGATCGAAATCACCTTCATACTGAGGTCCGAGAGAATCTGTCTCGAATTTTACCCCACTAAATTAAAGTAAATAACCAGAAAATGCCTCATGACGGCCATCTTGAATATTTTAATTTCCCCAAGAATGCCAAGGTGCCATCATACGGATTCTGAAATATATTGAAGATATATAATACACCGAAAACCTATATTTTTTAATTTCCTCAAGGATGCCAGGGTGGCATCATCCGGATTCTGAAACTACACATACTGAAGATCTATAATACACAAAAAACCATGTTTCAATATATTACACACATTGTTAGTGAACTTTATAAGTTCCCTGCCTCCATTTTGAATTTGACCCCCTACCGGAATTAGCCATCACATTTACGAGGAATACCCAACCTCATTGGATTTAGCGGGTCGAATTATTATACACCCATCTTGTAGTACCATGGGCCTTCTATCAGACGGGGCGAGCGGGCCACCAAATCCGGTCGCCACCTCCGGCGTATGACCCATGCATCTTTTCTTACTACATATTTTAGTAGCCTTGTGATCGTCTAGTATTTTCACTTGTCGTCTTTGCTTCCCCTTCACTTTGTGTATTCACTTCTTCTTGTCTATCTCAGTTAGTTAAGACGTTTGTCTTATCAGGAATAACAATGCAACAGTTCGTTTTTACATTTTATATATCATAGCTGGATAGATAGATTCAAGCATAGTAGATTACAATACTAAAGTCGTTCTCTCAAACCCTATCCAGCCAAACTCGCTGGTGCTAAGACCACCTAAAGATAAATTTTAAATGTTCCTATTATTAATTAGAACAGGTTTCGCTTTAGTTTTTATATTTTACGCCGACATTTATTACTTTAAATCTTCCTAGTGCTAAAACGGAAAATGTGACCTTTTGACCTCTGGGGTCACAAAGAACAAAGGTGAATTTAGCAAGTTTACATTTTTATTGAAAGTGTGATGACTTTCGATCATTTTCAGCTTATTTTCATGATACAAGAATGAACCCATTTGACCTTTGACCCCGAATATCTCGAAAACGCTCCAACGGCGGACTGATTACCACTCGGCATCGTATTCTACGCAAAATTTTACTCTAGAAAAGTTGTGTTTGGATTTGTGCCCATTTGATGGACCCCCCCCCCCCCGCGCTGAGCCTCCGGTCTATAACAATCAGACATCATGTCGAATTACACATTCGTGAACAATTTAAAGCCAAATTTAAGTAATGACACAAAATGGTATTTAGCAAATATATATATAACGTTTATATTACGTTTCTAAAGCGAAATTTAATTACATAAAATTATATACGGATACAATTTACTGTATCCTACCCACTTTTCGAAAAAGTGTCTTATTCCCACCTTAACCTCCTATTAAACTCTTAATAATGACTTTGCGTTAGTCTCACAATTTCGACGAGCCGTTAATTTTAGTTGTTTTTTTTTCCCAGGAAAAACTATACCTACATCCCTAGATGTAAATACATGGGATTTTAACACAACTTTTTATGCGAACGTTAAATTACCATTACCATTTTGAAACTTGGACTAAGGGTCTCAAAATTGCATTAGCTCTACTTAGCTGAACACATGGACAACACAAAAAAACCAAAATAATAGCAATCTAACCTTTTATTCAAAAGCTAAATTACCTAAATTAGTCTTACTCGACTAAAACCATAATTCTGAAACTTGGATTAGAGTCTCAAAATTATATTAGCTCTACATAGCTAAACACATATATGAACGACACAAAAACACACATTTTAACGAATCAAAGTAGACACATGCCAACTCTATCCTTAGCTCTGCCATCTTCCCACTTTGATCTGGAGACAACATTAATTCCTTATTTTATTCCCTATTCCGTTTCCTTATTATTATTCCTTAGTTATATTTTAAAAAATTTATTTAATCTACCCCCTAGACCCACTTTAATTTTAGTTCGATTAATAACTCAAATTGACTATACTTACTACAGGCCATGTTAACCCGATAATACGTATACCTAACTAGTGAATTCTATTGTTTATAAACCTGTCAATCAAAACTTATGAATGACTATATTTTATTCTCTATACAGTAGCATTTAAAATACTTATTGTATTTTAATCTTATATTACTATTACGTGGTCTGTTAACCAACTTCACATTCAATTTTCCAGAAAAAATATTTTTACCCAATTTTGCAAATATTTCCACCAAAAATGTTTTTTCTTCTCCCAAAGTAGCTTGCTTACCCTAAAGGTCGAAACTGGGTTACGGGCTTACGGCACCAAATCGAATATGTAACACTATGCCTAGTGCTATGCAGTCGCTGGTTATATGTGGAAAATATGCGGAGACAACTCCCCACATCCGTATGACGCATACTCCCTTTTCTCTGCTACATATTTAAGAACAGCCCCTGGTTGTCTAGAATCTG